CTCTCTCTCTCCCTCCCTCCATCTCTCCATTTCCCTCCCACTTGGCTGGAGTCGCTCTAAAAATAAAAGCCTCTCAGACGCTGATTGATTGGAGGCTCTCAGGACTCCCATGGTGGGCGACAGAGAGCGAGAAAGAAAAAAGAGAGCAAACTAGAGAAACAGGAGAAAGGAGGGAATCGAAGGCTTGTGAGGAAAGTGGGGAAGTGATGGAGAGATGAACGTTGGACAAATGAGGAGTTGTTATTGGCGTTGTTCTTACAAAGCTCTATATATTCTGTCAAATATCAGACATCAAAACCCAGCAATTAAAGTTGAGTTGTTGCACGTACAAAGAGGACACGACCTCAGTTGCTAACATTAGCTAACATTAGCTCCACACACCTATCATAGCTCACCTGTAACACATTTAATGGCTGAAAAACACGACTTGTTATTAAATGCTTATTTATTTTGTTAGATTTTGTTAAACCCTATACCATTTAGAATTTATATACATAGAATTATACATTATAAAGTATATAAACAATTAATAATTCATGCTAAAACTGTTTCTTATTGACTGCTGTTATACTTTATGAATTATTTATATTTTTATGTTATTTTGATTTGTATGATACATTATGATGAGCTTTACAGTTTTATGAGTTACATAATAGATTTTAAATCTATGGAAGCCCATTCAGTCCAATTGTATAAGTAATTTCTCCAGTTTTTATTATGTAAAAGCTCTGAGCTGTGTTATTAATCAGTTTATTTATTGTTTTCTTACAGTACAGGCTCCATTTAGAAAATCCAATAAACAGATTTGTATTTTTTATATATTTAATATAAAACATGTTTAACTAGAGAGTAGGAGAGAGAAGGATGGACAGAGAGAGAGAGAGACAGACAGAGGAGGCGGTGGAAAGAAATTAAAGCTAACACGACAAATGGAGACAAAGAGAGAGAAAGAGGGAGGGCGAGTGGAGAAGTGGAAAAGTCAAAAGTGAGAGCGTTGAAGAACAGGTGTGGGAGGAAAATTAAGGCAAAGACTGCAAATGGACGGAGCGAAAGAAAAGACGAGATCAAGGGAGCGAGGGAGGGGAAGAAGCAGAAAAGTCAATCCTCCTACGGTCTGTGCAGGAGACGCGCGGGTTTAATTTGTTTTGAAGTCGTCGTGCAGGAGAGGATTTTTCACTTTGTGCCTCCACTCGAAACTCTCTGTAAGCGCTTAATAAAGCCGCCGTGGTGACAGATTCACACAAAACGTTCCTCATCTGCAGCTTTGTTCTGCAGCAGACGAGAGCAGCATGTCCGGGTTTGCTAGGCCAACCTCGGAGCATGAAAAGCAGTCCATCTGATTTGACTGGCGGTAAATTATTATTATTAGTAGGAGCCAGCAAAGCAAAAAGTTATGAATCAACCTTTTATAACGAGCCCGACAAGAATAAAACAGGAGGGTTTTTTCTCCACTTCCTGTTACTTTCTGCTGTTTACAAGGTTCATTNNGCTCAGTTTATGGGAATTATTAAGGCTGAAATACTCTCTGCTCCACACTGTCAAACCAAACTCCATTCAAAAAACGGTAGGCACATTTGATTTTTCACAGTAAAATATAAACTTCATATAGTTTTACTTAAAATATTCAACATATTCAGTAACAATTTGTTGAGTTGAATTAACCGATCTGGTTTTACAGTGTGAAGCATTTTGCTGCACTGCAGTCAATAAAATTAAACATGGTTGTAAAGGTTTTAGAAACATGTTGAAATACTCGTTCACTGAATGTGTCAGTGAGCATTCTGGAAAATAAAGACAAAGATTTATGTAGACGTTTTCTAAACGTGCCTGCTGAAAGAAAGTGTAAAGAAACTATAAAATAAATAATAATAATGGTAAAATCCAGACTCCAGACTCCCCAGCCGCAGTCTCTCACCACTTGCAGCAGAGCCAGGTATCCGGCCCCCACGTTGTCGAAGTTGACCTTGACCTTGGTCCAGTAGAAGAGCGAGGTGTCGTTGAGCGCCTCGCACTCCGACTTGTTGTTGATGAAGGCGGCCTCGTAGATGTGGCCGGTGCGGTTGACGCAGCGGCCGAACTTCCCAGCGAACAGGTTGACGCCCATGATGCTGAAGATGAGCCAGAAGATGAGACAGACCAGCAGCACGTTCATGATGGAGGGAATCGCCCCGATCAGAGCGTTCACCACCACCTGGGCCGACAGAGACACACGAGGTCACGCACACAAAAAAAGACACAAAACATATGACAGTGAGAACATCAAGTTTCAGTCTGACGTTGGTCAGGTTTAATATTCATTCAAAGACTGGATGGACACCAAACGCTCTGATGGTACAGACACACTGGATCCATTGACTGATGTTGGTTCCTATTAGTTTTCTATGGATCCGGCTGCATGATGGATACGCAGCAGGTTCACGAAACTCAAACTTTAAAACTAAGCAGTGCTGATTAAATATGATCAAAGGTTCCAGCATTGCCCTTTTTCTCCCTTCAGAAGCGTATTTTAGTGTACCGTGTAGCTGTAATTTGTAGCAAAGGTGTCCATCAGTTGTCACCCACCAGCCGCAGCACTCAGTGGTCCGGTGCATCCGGATTCAGTGTGTCTGCAACATTAATCAGGATGTCACTGGCTTCTTTTGGGGGACTGGTGCAACCTAAAATTGATGATTTCACAGTGTTTTTTTCTAAAAAAAAAAATGCAATCTTTATGTTTTTTAAGCATTTTTTGCAATGAAATTGTTTTGGGGGCTTTTTATGCCTTTGTTTAGACAGGAAAGGGGGGAGAATGAGAGGGGACGACATGCAGCAAAGGGCCTCGGGTTGGAATCGAACCCAGGCTGCTATGTTAAGGACTGTATTTATTTTTTGTAATTAATAATAGAAACAGAAACAAGGAAGTGACACAAAATTCAGGGGGTTGGTTGATTAAATTTGCATTAATTTGCAACTTCCTGGAGAAAATTATACAGCTGCTAAATTGTCATTTCAGGGTCAAAGGTTCCTGAAGGTCATTTCTTCATTGATAATGTTTGATGACTGACAGTTTGGTGGACATCAGAATCCCTCAGGTGGGTTAAAGATGTTATTATTATTGATGAGAAGATCTGTAGACAAACAAACTGAAGGTCAGAAGTCAACTACGACTCCCAATGTGCATTTCGTTAAGTATCATCCAATCACAGAGGATTCAATTCTGACGAGGAAGAAGATAAAAACTTGACTTCAGAGAACTGATAATATAATCTGCTCTGATTTGTATTGTAGTACATTAAAGTACATTCAATTATGCAGCAGATGTTTGTGTTTCTATGTTGGGGGAGAAAAGAAGTCAGTGATCAACCAGCGTCGTTGTCCTCGTCACCTGATCAACATACAGAACCAGAACTGTGTTCCTTTAACCACACAGGTTGCTGTCACACTGTAGGGTTGAGGCAGGCTGGAGAACCCAGCCCACAGGTCACACTGTCACTCCTGCATGAACTTTTCCACAATTCACTTGCTCGCTCTGTCCGAGCAGCAGCAGAGGGAAGTGGACTGATTCCTATTAACAGAGAAAATCCGCTTCCTTCTTCTCGGTGATGCTCGCACGGAGAATAAGAGCTGAGTTAGCTAATGTCAATGCTACACACACACACACACACACATAAAAAAAATCAACCTGCCACTCCAGCCTTCCTCATTATACCCACAATGCAGTTCTTCTACCCAGAATCCCATGCTGAGTGAGCAGCGCGCCGCATTTGGAAACTGACATGCGAGCTAATCTTATTAGCCAGACAAAGAAGAGAGAAGAGGCTCACGGGGAGAGTGAAAGCTCAGACAATATTCCCAGCATGCAACACAGGTCCTGAACTTCACGAGAGTCAGCATCCTGCACGCCTCGGTCCGAACATCTCAGACTGAAACCACCTTCTCTCTGCGGTGAGTGATGATCATAAAATACTGATCGAACAGTTTGGTGATCAGCTGTCAAAACGTATGTTTCTGTTTGAGTTGATGAAGGTTAAACACGGGTCGTTATTTGTTGTCCCGTGCTCACTAAATTTTGCTTTATTTTCAAGTCGAAGAAAAACTGACCATAATACCATAATAACAAGAAGCCTGATTTCACAATTTACATCCAGATATATAAAAATATAATTATGTTTATCACAAGATCAGAAACGTATCACTTTCTGGCTTTTGGTTTATTCCGAAGTGAAAACGGACTTTTCTATTTGTGTTAGTTTACACAAATTAAAACCAACTCTGAGTTGGAGGGAAAACACACTTTTTGTCAGACCACAAAGTGTAAAAATGTGTCTAAAAATAAAATGTAAGTTTGCAAAATGTGCATCAACTCTTACTCGACTAACAAAATGATCCTTGAAACGGTTTTAGATTTCTGCTCTGAGTCGTTACTTGCTGGAGTCGATGTGTCTGTTTCTGAATCTCACTTGTTAACGAACATGCGCAGATGTTTTAACGAGCCAAAATGTGGAGGAATGAATCATTTAGGTTTAAGGATTGTGTTGTCAGGAACACTTTTCCTCACTGCAGAGGAAGGTTTCTGCAGGACACTGACTCCCATGATGTCAGTAATACTGATGGTGATGAACACACAGAAACAGAGTGGAGGGTTGATGTTTCGGGTCTCAAAGCTTTACGGACATCCAGAGTTTCCGTACAGACGTGTGTTCTCACAGTGTAACATAAAGAAATTAAGGTATTTGTTTTCTGAAAGAGAAAAAACTCTGAGTGGACAAATCCAGGTGGAAGCCACGTGGAAACACTGACAGGACGTAATGAGATGAACCAATCAGAGAGCAGAAAACACTGAGGGGGACGGGGAGATGAAACAACAAGATGTCACAGGATGAAACACTGTAAAAAACACAGAGTTGATGTGTTTTATTGTAAACACACCTGGGCACCAACATATTGTTTCAATGTGATAAACAGGGGAGCACTTGATTTATATTTATCATCCCTTACATCGATGGAAGGCTTCAGTTAGTCATATAACCTCTGTGTGTTCTCAGGATTAAACCCATAACGCTAATCCAAAAATAGGCAAAGAGGTGGAGCTGAATGAAGCCAAAAGGCTGTAAACACGTTTATTTCTGCTGTAAAGTTGGACATTTTAATATGGGGCCTTATGG